GATGAAATCAGTCACATTCAACAGGAGACCTGCTGAATTATTTATTTATTTAAAATATTTTTATCCTGCCTTTCTCCTTAAAAAAGATCCAAGGCAGCTTATATTGTTAAAAAGACAACATTCAAAAACAGTATGCAAATATTAAAAAGAAATTAAAGAAGCATTTATTAAAAGTAGTAAATAAAAGCAGTACTAAACACATTTAAAACCACAGAGCACAACAATCAATTTAAAAAGCTGCCTCAGGCCATCAGTCATGAAGAATAAGCCTCACTGGTTTGTTAGTTACCAAGTGATCCACATTCTTTTGGTTTCTATGGGTCTCCTTTATTTAGAACTAATTTTGAATTAAATTAGGAGAAAAAGAGAATATATTTACTGTATGTCTGCAGTCCTACACACACTGATTTAGGAATAAAACCCATGAAAATCAGCAGGGATCACTCCTTAGGGAGTGTTCACAACCTTAATTGTTTACAGCCTTTCAAAAGACACACTCAAGACAAAAATGTGTAGATCCTTTTCTTTACATTACAGATTAAATGAATAGATGAATGAATTAACTCCATTGTGGCATAAAACCATAAGAATACATCTAGAGCGGTTACAGGATAACACCCCGGTAACATAAGCAGATTTCTACATATGATTCAAAGCTTAAAATTTAATTTAAAATTTAAACCTTCTAATTAACCGATCTTCTTAATATGACATTTAATCAAATATAAGCAAAATTTAGCTATTCATTTAGTAATAAAAGAGTTTTCATCATTTAAAAGTCTAATTTCCTAATTAATAAGATAAAACAAGCCTCAAGGGTACCCTTTAATGAGACAGTAAAAATTCATAGTCAACCTGAATATTATCATAGGAACTATGGAATTTTGTCCCCACAGCAGAGTTGCCCGAGCTTTCAGATGAACCAAGCAATGTTTCAATATGGTTCCATTAGGGATTCCCCCAAGAGAGCTAAGAAATAATGTTACTGAGACAGCATCTGGGGGAGTGGGATAATCAAACTGAAATTCTTTCATGGAATGTAGCCAGGTGGTAAGGTTGTCTCCGCTCATATATTGATGTTCCTTTTTTTTTTTTAAATCTGATTTTGCAGGAAACATGGTCAGCAGAAACTCTCCATTTTGATAGCTTTCATTCTTTTAATTTAGAGGCATCTGCTGGGAAATGTCCCGGAAGATTAATGGGTGGGTTGGTCATACAGTATTTATCTCAACCACTCTAAATGGTCAATGTGAATTGAAACCACCCCTAGCCCACCTGGCCATGGCCCTATGGATGACCTGGAAGAATGGTGCCTGATTCTTATAAATATTTATCTCCTGCCCAGGACAAAAAAGTCCTCCATTGAAGTTACGTTAGCACTGGAGTAGATGAAGTTCTCAATATTTGAAGTGAATCTGGTTACCTGGGAATGGCCAGATTATATGAGCATTCAGCAAGAGACCAAGAGATTTCAGCTATTGTAGGACACCACTAGACCCATTAAATACACAACAGAGGACAGCCTAACAGCAACAAACCATCCAGTATTATTAATTCTACTAATTTATGAAACAGGGCAATAGCAATCAATTTTACCAATTCAGCACAATTACAAAACTACAAAAAGTGCTTATGAAAATGTACATTTTTTCCTGTTATACCATTCTAAAAAGCATGCTGTGCTGTGGTGTTTCATGTTGGGTAAAGAAATACTGCTTACCTGTTTGCAAAGATTAATCAGGTAAGATTTACTTCTGTACAGTAATTTGAAGGCACTTGTAATTCTTCACAACTGGGGACAGTACTTGTGCTAAATGTAGCATTTTGAGAACTGCTGTTTTGGGTAAAGCTTTAGTCATATTTAAAATGGTTGGAAAATAATTAATGTACAAATTAATGTACACATTCAAATAATCACCCAGTGTGGAGAGTAGATACTTCAGTTTCAGGTGGCTAGAAATACAGACAATAATGAAAGATCACACCTTAATCCTTACTATTAATTACATGTTTGTTTATTTATCTAAAATATTTTTATCCAATTTCACTCTGCATCTATTTATGGTTAGTTTGTTGAATATGAAAGTTGCAGTGGCTTTTCTATTCCACAGGGTGTCATGAGGCAGTTGTTGGAACCATTATCAGTGCTTATAGAAATGAAATGAACTTGGTTTACTCTTATTTGAAAAACGAGTGAGTGTCAAATTTGAAAGAATACTGCAGATACACTATTAAAGAATGAGTTTTCACTTTGGCACAGTGGATAAAATCAATGACATTTAAAATCAAGTTGATTTAATCATGACTTATCGGATTAAAAATTGTTTTTATGTAACTCATTAACAATCATATTTTTATTTAAATTGTGATTTAAAACAATTTAATTTAAATCAAATCCATCCTGAACTTTAGGGTATATCCTTTATTATATTGCCATAAAATATACAAATATACAGATTCTTTCCTAGGAGGAGATGTTTCACATGTTCACTGAACTAAATGCATTGCATGTACATGTTTAATCCTCTCTATTCCCAAATGAGAAGCAGAGATATTGTAGGATAATAGACACTAGGCATAAAAGCTTCTTCAGTTTAGTTCTTTTGGGATGAATTCACTTAATCACTTCTAAGTGACAGCAAGCAGAACACTTCCTTAACATTAACCGTGCAGTGATCTATACTATTGGCAGATGGTGTGGACTCAAATTAGACATCTTCAGATGATCCAGTTCAAAAAATACCTTTGCACAATGTTTGCAAAAGCTACTGTCCCAGGAGAAGCAAGTGATCTGAAATATATCATGCAGATCTAACTAGTCAAGTGATACCATGCAGGATTGCTCATGAAATTGAGAACACTGTTCAGTGTCTTTTTAGTGGCGTAGTGTCAGTGACAACATTTGTAGGTCTATGCTATTTTATACTTACTGATACCACAAGTTATTTTTGTTAAGAAATTACTGTTAAATGATGATGCCATAGAATAAACCCATATATTAATATTGGACTAGCTACATCCATAGGGTAGATGTTGTCTTGCTTTCATCTTCTGACATTTCAGAGGATAGAATATTGTTTCTAAAAAGAAAGAATACTGTTTTAATTTATTATACATTGCTCATTAGTGTTTCAAAGTAATTCATTAACAGTTGTTTTTGACTGAAATCCAGTAGTAAGTTGTAACTACATTAGGCTCACTGAATCAATAGAACTTACTGAGGAAATTGAGTCACCAAATTTCCACTGATTAATTGGGCCTATTCTAATTGCAACTTACTACTGAATTTCATCCATTGAAAGAATGACATGTTACTAATCCATCACTAATTTGTTGCTTTTTATTGCTTTTTAATTTTTATAAGAAATATAAAATGACCAAAGACCTGCACCCCCCAGAAGTGCTTAATGAATAATGAGTGAACATAACTAATTGGGGGAAAAAACATCTCAAAAAAAAAAAAAAGGATTCTCAATCACTATACAGTACTTTTTCTAAAATGTTACTATTACATTTGCGAAGGCTTTCATGGCCGGGATCTAATGGTTGTTGTGCGTTTTTTGGGCTCTTTGTCCTTTGAAGATGCCGGACACAGAGACTGGCGAAACGTTAGGAAGAACAACCTTCAGAGCCCGAAAAACCCACAACAACTGTTACCATTACCTTACTGTTTGCAAAGTATTATCTTTCAGGTAACGCTGTTACATATAGAGCACATTACTCTAATTGTTGCAATTATAGACGAAACAGAGGCTGAAATCTTGCCCTGAAACTTGATTTACAAAACCTAACAGATGCACATGTATTATCCTGTCTTCTTATGACACCAAGGTAGCTGCTTTGCAGTACATGTGGTACTGTGAATTCTGACAAAGTGACCAAAATCATCTTCAACAGCTACGCAAAAGGCATAATTTCTGGAGACAATTGCCCCAAGTGAAGAAATCACCATAGATATCATTAGTTGCATCAGTCAAACACAACTCAATAAGCAGTAAATAATATCTATGTTGATTAAGTTAAGGCAGTTCACCTTCAAAAGTCATACTGTTTGTGTTATGCCATCTGTAAACTATGCAAAAGGATTTGGGCTAGTGTGTCGGTGCCATAATGCTTCTACTTAAATGCCCCATTTTATGATGTGGTCAGAAGATGCTTCTGAGGCACAAATCTGGTATGGAATGCCTTGGGAATAGATACTCATATGACAGAGACTCCTTTAATTTCATGTAACTTTATCAAAAAAATTATAAAATGTGTATGTTTGCATCCGTGTGTATGCATATGATAACTGGTGTTTATATCTTATACCATGGGGGTTATTTTGTCATAGTCAATTATATGTGGATTTCCTGAATGTGATTTATTCTTGAAATATGGAGACAAGCAAACATATTATGACTAACATATTGATTTAATACATGTCTATGGACAGTGATGTCTTAAGACTGCAGCAGGTGGGGGATCCCCAGATTTTGTTATGAGGCATTCCCCATCCCATTCCACAAGCTACCCATGCATATACTTATACATACATAAGCATAATCCAAGAAGTAGTGATGCTGGTGAGGATATGCAGTAGGGACGTGGTTCACATTTTCAGTTTATTTAGAAAATGAAGTGAAGTGGGACTATTTGTCCATTTCTGAACAGTGCAGAAGCATGAAGCACATCAGTCAAATCAGGGCTCTCCAAAGCTTTGGAAATTCGAAGGCTATACTGTAAATCTAGAGCAGCAGCTTTCAATTCAGAGGATCCAAGGGTGACTGACATTTGGGTAACAGTGCTCAGCTAATGCAGTTTGAAATTTCTAAATCAGTTTTAAGTTTCTTTTGGAAGCTTACCAGATTTGTTTTCTGTAAAGATGGTACTGTGGGATTTTGCCAGTCTTTAACTCAAAAGTACAGGAACGAATTGTCAGCTTGCCACCAAGTGCCGATGAACTTGTTTGTTTTAGCCTTACACCTGGGGATTCTAAACCCTTACCATTTCTTTTAAAGATTGAAAACCTCCAAGAGCAACTTAGGGATAAAGACAAACAACTAACCAATTTGAAAGACCGAGTGAAATCATTGCAGACGGATTCGAGTAACACAGACACTGCTCTAGCAACATTAGAAGAAGCTTTGTCAGAAAAGGTATGTGTTGTTTTAACATTTTCTTTCCAGAACTGGCTCAGGGATTTTAACTTGTGACTTTATTCTACAAATAATTGCACACAAATGATATTTTCATGGGAGCAGTCTTAAAATGCAAACTCCAGACCACCTTTGGTGAGCAGGGCCGTAACTGTTCATCTGAGACCAGTTCTCTTTGCAAGATGTCACTAAAAGATGCAGAAGTATCTTGACCTTGAAAATGTTAAGGTTTAAGCCCTGATTTACATAGAGCCCTCACTGACCTGGCAGCTGCAGTTACTGTCATGCTGGGGAAACGTGGGGACTACTATGGTACTACCGCAAAGAAGCTGTTGAATGCGTCCGATACAGAGCTTTCAGCCACTGCCACCTGCTTCCTGCTTGCTTTTGTGATAAAATATATGTAGATTAAGCCTGTGAGGGGGATAAATCTATGCCTCAAATTCTTGCCAATGCAAATAAGACTAGAAAGGACACATTGTTGGGATTTCATCATGTTAGTGGTTAATCAGCACAAACATGGTATATTAGGACATTTAAGCATGTGTTTTCAGCATCTAGCTCATGGAGATTACAGTTCAATTAATCTTCATTTTGTGTTTGAGAATGATGTTTAGTCTTCAAGAAAATGAAACATATACATTGTTGTTAGGAGAACAAATGTCTTCAGGGTCAAGATTCTATCATTGTGGAAGGAAAATAAATTTAATAAAGTTTTAAATGTGTCAGAATAAATGATAATAAACAATAGGCTTATACTTTTAGAGTTCATACATAGTATTTTATGTACGTAGTAAGAGTATATTTAAATAATGGTAACTGACAGTTTCAGATAAATTTGGAAGGCCACTTTCCCTCTCAAGCCCTGAAGAGCTAAAGGATAGAATCAGTTTATACATCATGAAATCAAAATGAGAAATGGGATGTGAGAAATAAGGATCAAAAACACAAACGACTGCACCTGCTCAGTCTGACCAGTTTCTCTGAGCACTATTGTGACATCTTGAGTTGGTCCCGGCTCCTTGTGGAGCTTTCTACATCAGTATTCCTTACTGGGACAAATGCCAACTGGGATTGCACCCCATCTGATCAACTACTGCATCATCCTTGCAGATTCCCATACATCCTCATGAAGATGATTGAGTGTCTCAGGTGGTGTGCAAACCCATTTTTGGTTTATGCACATGAGGATGTAAATACAGGGAAGAACAACTGCAAAAATATTGTTTTTGCATAGTGTTCTGTAGTGCTCTCAGCAAGAATATAAGATCTTTTGTGCAAATTCAGAAAAATTCAATGAACATTGCAGATAACAGTTTAATGCAAATAACAGAAAATGACTGGCTACTGGTTTGCTGCATGGACTTTTAAAGAGTCAAGAGTATTGTTTGCATCTTGCTGCACATAGAGCAAAGAAGAAGAAGAAGAAGAAGAAGAAGAAGAAGAAGAAGAAGAGCAAAGTGTGTTGTTTATATGCTGCCCCATAATGCTAAAAGCACTGTCTGGGTGTTTCACAAGTTACTTATGCAGGTTACAGATTCCCCCCCCACCCCACAAGCTGGGTATTCATTTTAGCGACCTCTGAAGGAGAGAAGGCTGAGTCAACCTTGAACTGGATACCCGGGATTGAACCCCATGCCGTGAGCACAGTTTTGGCTGCAGCACAGCGGTTTAACCTATGTGCCATGAGGCTGCTCAAATATATTGTGTTTTGCCTCTCAAAAAAACAGAACAGTAATTTTGTGAATAATCTGCTCAAATTATGGAGGTCTAAATAATAATTTATAAAGCACTCCTTATCTCAGTGTCACCTAGAGTGCACCAGTCGTGTGGGGCTTGAATCAATGAGAATGAATAATTTAGTGAATATTATTTCATAGGTAACACACAATGTGCACATAACAAAGACAAGTACCAAAAAGAACTTCTGGGTCCTATGTCCTTTGTTGTTTGCCTATTTATTTGTATGATTATATCTGTATCTTACCTTTCCTTTAATGATGTCAAACATGTTCTTTCCTCCTCCTCTATCCTCACAGCAATTCTGCTTAAAAACAAAACCAAACAAAACATTTCCTGCATTTTTCCAATGTAAAGGGTTTGTTTTTGTTTTTAAGTGTGACAGGAGATGTGAGGGCTTGATGTTGGATGCAGGTCTTTTCAAGCTTGGTGCAGCTTGAGGGCAGAGGGGCTAGTCCAGACTTGAAACAGGCCAGTCAGTTCAAGCAGTAAAGCAGAGGAGGCAAGAAATGGGGATACTGGGCTTCTTGACAGTTCAAGTTAAACATTCAGAAAAATTCCTAAGTTATTTGATTTAAATATTGAAGGGGCCCAGTTGATTTGGGGCCTTAGAAGCATGTACTGTACTCGAGCAACCTACTATAAAACTTTGATGTTGAGAAACACTTTTCTGTCTGAATGACACTAGTCCTAATCATAAGAACTTTAAAATGCCATGCTTCTGCATGATTCTGTCTGCTACATTAGGCTTCAAGCAAGATTGTCTATGAATTCCACTGGCTTAACTTTGTTGCTGTTGTCTCCTCACTCTCCCAGCAAATTTAAGTGTCCTCAGACACATTCTCTCTCCAGAAGAGAATTTAGGAAGCTTGGCCACTTTTCAAGAATCCATTTACTTTTTAATTTAAAATATTTATATGCCACCTTTCTCCTGGAAGATCCAAGGAGGTTACAGTATATATATAAAAAAACAAAGTTAAAAGCCTAATAATAAATTATTACACTACTAAAAAGCATCAAACAAATATATTGAAAAAGCACTAAATAAATATTATTAAAAGTCATAATAAGAACAATATTAAACACACAAGTAAAACACAGAATAAAATACTCCCTTTAAAAGATCTATAAAACTGTGTCTCCAAATCCCAGTCCAGAGAGACAACCTAGAACAATACCATGGTCATTGATATTAAAAGCTGCTGAGAGGTCCAGCAGAACCAAAGGGATATACTCCCCCTATACAGTAGCGTAGGTTATCTACCAAGGTGACCAAAGCAGTCTCTCACCCAAAAGCAGGCCTGAAGCCAGAGTGAAATGGATTTAGATAATCTGGCTCATCCAGGAACCCCTGGAGCTGAGAAACCACAACCTGCTCTAGTACCTTGACTAAGAATTAGTCATTAGGGACTGGCCAATAATTATCCAGTACTGTGGAATCCAAGGACTTTTTTTCAGCCATGATCTTATTACTGCCTTCTTTAAGTACGCTGGGATCCTGTCCTGCTGCAAGGAGGCATTCACACGTGACTAGCCAGAGTGAGTTGGACCAAAGGCCCAACCAGTCCAGTATTTTATTTGTACATTGGCCAGTTGGGGATTACATAAATCTGATTAGGTGAGAAATGCAGTAGTAGTCTCTTAAAGAGGTTCACCACCAACTGGCATTTGAAGGGGATAACGCATATACTGACATCATACATAGTGAACATTGATAATCTTATTTTCCATGAGTATGTCTAATCCTTTTTAAAGCTGTCCAAGCTGATAGACATTACTTAGTATCTTAGTAATGAATTCTGTAGTTTAACTTTATGCTATATGAGGGAGTACTTAATTTCATTTATTCTGAATTTTCCAGCTCTGAATTTCTATTCTGGATTCTAGTAGTATAAGAGAGGAAGAAAATTTCTCTCTGTCTTCTTTTCCAAACCATCCTGCTTTTCTTCCACCATTCCAAAGCCAATGATTTAGTGGGAGGACTTTTTGGGAAGATGGTACTTCTCCCAAAAAAATTTTTCAGATAAAAATATAGATGCACTTAGGTGACTGACAGAGACCCATCCAGCTCATTTATATTGCTAAACACCATATTCATTAACTCCATAATACATAGATTATAAACAATGGAAGAGTGTTTGGTTAGTGATATGTTAGAAATTTCTCCATTATATTTGAGAAGAGATAAAGTGAAAAAGTGTCATAGTTCTAGAATAAATTATCAGTAGTTCAAAGAATTCCTCAACAGATGTAATATGTGGAACTGGCTGTGGTACCTAGTGCCATAATGTTAATGAGTTTGCATGGGATCTAGAAATGAGGCACGCACTCTCCCTAGAAATGAGGCACGCACTTTTCCTAGAAATGAGGCACGCACTCTCCCTAGAAATGAGGCACGCACTCTCCCTGCTAAAGGCTAAAGCATTCATTCAAGGAAACACATATTTCCTGCTCTTACTTCCTTTCATCCCCAGCAGTGTTAGCTCCTTTATATCTGTGTCTCCAGAATTAGACAGATATAAGTAGCAGTTTTCATTCCAATGAGATCACGATAGCATTTACATGGCTCCAGTTAATGTGTTTGTACAGTTATATACTTCTTGTCACTTGAGAGTGAACTCATTTTAAATACAAAATTCTCTAGTGATTCCCTGGAGAGAGATTCAAACTTTGGAGAAAGAGAGCTCTAGAAATGCACAGTAAAGGTGTGATCAGACAGAGAAATAGCTTGCATTTTGGACTGTTTGTGGCACAGTCTGATGCAAGTTATTTTCTGGTGATCACATGACATACAGAACATTGTGAACCATCCTGATCCTAATCACTGCCCATGTTGGTCCTTTTTTTGTCCAGCAGCATGATTGCTTTTTGTTTTTGTTATTTTTTTTTAAACCAGTCTGGAGTGATTCCTGTACACACAGACAGGTTGACAGATCACTCCCAGTGAAGCAACCCTTTCCAGCATGATCAGATGCAATCCTTTCTCACAGTCTGATCACATCCTAACTCTTTGGACAAGGTATCCCCTAAAGGCAAGATGTAAAAACAATGATTGACTGGGGATGGAAACAGAAAATATGAGTTGTCAAATAGTTTTTACTTAATGAATATGGATGCCATCTTGAAGACTTATTAATTTTTCTGCAAAATCTGTTGAATCTGAGATTTCAAACAACAGAGGATCAAGTGTGGTCGAATAAGGCACATGTCTTACAGTGGTTATCGTCTCAGCATGGGATGTAAGTAGTGTCATGATGTAATGACACTGTTGCTTAATGTAATAAATTTCACTAGAACATACCATCTGAATCAATGGGGATTTAACTCTTCCAGGTTTCATTGATTCAAATGGGCCTGCTCAAACAGCTTTATATGCTAAAGTAAGTTGCAGTCAGAGTAGACCAATTTGAATTAACAGAACCTATGGAGACGTTGACTTACCAAGTTCCCACTGATTCAGTGGCCATACTCTGCAACTTACTAAACTAAGTAACAGGATTTTGGCCACCAATAATAAAGTTTTAAATGAATATTCTCAAACTCTGTAAATTCCTAAATGTATTTGCTACTGCTCTATTTGGATTTCTTTTGGAGAAGAACCAGGATTAAGTGCACTTCAGCATTGCTACCAATCTGAGGACTTCATATTTTTCTTTTAAAATGCTCTTAAAATGCAGTAGCTAATAATTCTTGTTCTGTATCAACAGTCTTATTTCAAGATCACTGGTCTTAGAGATGATTATTTTTCTATGTCAGTAAGTTTCAAAATGTGTACATTTGGAAGGTCCCTTGACTGAGGCTTTATTACTTGGTTAAATAAATGCCGTTACTTGAATGTTAAAAATCTCACAATAATATTAACATTAGTTATATATTTGTACATGTAGTACAATACATAGTTTTTTCTATAGTACTGATCAAACAGAAAGCACTTTTGTGTGATGTATTATAAAGTATTACAAGAGAAAAGAACTAAGCTGTTTGGAGAAACACAAATATTTGCATTCTCTTTTAAGAGTGTACAAGCTGCTACTTTTTAAAGTGAAGCACATATTTACACCTCATAATCTTATGTTTGGCTTCATTGAGAAAAATCGTTGCTGCTCCCTCTCCCCCCGATGATATGAAGTTTACCGAACCAAGAATATTAGTGTACTGGTAATAGCCACTTATGTAGTTGTAAAGAAGAAAATGGAGACTTAAACATATATCATTTGTCCATGCTCTGATTTACATCCACCAAGGTAGTGGCCAAGGCACAACATTCCCACATTTGATAAATGGCAAGCATGTTTCACACTTAGATATAGAGGGATGGTATTAGGATGATGGACAAGAAGGGGCAATTTGTCTCCCATCAAGCTCAATGCCATCCACTTTACCTTGCTAGCAGGGTGTGCATGGCAAACCACTAGTGCTTCAATAAAATTGCCTGCCTTTGTTCTTTATCTTGGACTGCAGAAACAGAGAGAGGAGTGTTCTTAAGCATGTGGAAAACCACAAAGTTTTAGATGATGGCCTGTGCTGAACTTGATTTGTTCCACTTTTGAGAGCCTGTAAATCATTGTTGTTTTGAGAACAAGAAACAGCAAAAATGTTCTCTTTGCTTGCAAGACAGTGAGATATTTTCTGTTGGCCTTCAGAAAAATGTTTGCAGTTGTGAGAACAATTTTTGTGCAAATAGAGCAAATTATACAAATTACATAGCAAAACTACATGCAGCTGCTCTCTTGTTGTATGGTTTTTTTTAAATCAGATGTACCAGATGGGTGATTTGTCCCTTTTTGATAAATCAGTCAGTTTTCTGCTTGTGTGTGTGTGTGTGTGTGTGTGAGAGAGAGAGAGAGAGAGAGAGAGAGACTAATTCATTAAGAATTATATCACAGTATGCATATAGCTTGATAAGTGTGCATTTGCTTGGATTGTGACCTCGTTATTGATATTCTGATACTGAAAACATGCCCCAGGTTTCCGTTGAAAAGGTAATCTATGCTATACATTCTTATGTAACCATGTTTTTTGCATTGCTGCTTCATTTAATAAAGTATAGCCATATTTTTCATTCTGTAGGAGAGAATTATCGAGCGATTAAAGGAACAGAGGGAGAGAGATGACCGTGAAAGGATGGAAGAAATTGAATCTTTTAAAAAAGAAAATAAAGATTTGAAGGAAAAAGTTAATGCCTTGCAAGCAGAGTTAACAGAAAAAGAGGTCAGTATTTCTATTTAGATATCATATAAAGTGTTACTGCTTCCTTTGTGCCACTTCTGATATTGTCTCAGAAGATCCATCTGGAGCAGAATTTGTGTGATTGATAGAGGTGGCAGGAAGAAAGGAAGTTCAAGAGCTCCCCATTCTGTGAATTAACTCACAGAATTTGGGATCCAATCTGATTTAACAATAAGTAAAGAAAATCTGTCAATGAGTTTTCTCAAATTTGTTCATAGATTTTTTTTCTAACTTATCACTGTATTTTTCCAAGAACATATGTATTCTGTCTTGTTTTGATCTTTACAGTTAGTTTGAACAATTCTGCTAGTTAAGTAACACCTATTTAAAGCCTGCCTGTGAGGGTAATCCAGAAATCTTAATTACAGAATGTGGTTAGAAGGGTACTACTTGGAAATGGGTTTGCCAGTACTTTATCATGTTTGCTGGTTCCTGGCCTATTTCTGGCTGAATCAAAAGTGCTTGTTATGACCTGAAATCACTTGAAAGCCTGAAACTGTGGCATCCAAAGAAAATGTACCCTCAAGGCCTGGGATCATCAGTGTGCTCTCGTAAGCTGGGATATATCAGCAGGAAGAGGAGAAAAGCTCTTTTCAGCACCATTTAGTGACTTACAGTTAAAATTTTGTGGTGCGGTGTTCCTCCTCTCCAGTTGACCTGCCCTGATCCAGCAGTTACCCCAGTTGTGGGAAGCGCTTATCCCCAGAGACGTTTGCCTAGTGCTTACTTCAGTGTTGCTTCAGAGCTAGGCAACAGTTTTTTTTATTTTGGCAGTTCTTTTAAAGTCATTGTTTTAAATCTCTGCTGTTATTGCTGTGTCTTAACATCGCTTTGACTGTTAAGTGGTGGTTGCCACTTAAGTTCTCGCCTAAATTAAATTGATTGCATTTGGACATTTGCTTATGGGGTTTGCTTTTAAATTGTTTTATCTTTTTTGTACATTGGGGTAACTTGTTTGGGAAACATAGGTCAGATGATGTCAAGTATGTGGTCATCACCCTGACATCATTGAGACGTGAGATGAGACTTTGTTCTTCTTTAACCTTCCTGTGTTAGACAGGCAAGAGGAGAGCAAAGCCAGAAATGCCCACCCAGAAATGCTGCTAGGATTCAACCGGAAACCAAAGCACAAGCTGAGTCTACTTTAGTCCATTTACCTGTTTACCAAGGATAGCCATGGGTGGGAGATAAAGCCAAATTCATAGTTGTGTAGGCCACCATTTTGTTACTTTCTGAGGGGGTGGATCAAGGGGAAAAGGTAGCTGGAGAACCTTGTTGAATGGGGCTGGAAATATTGGCAAACTGGCTTAGTCCTCAGTGCTTCTGCAAAGTGAACAGCCATTGTTTACAAACAGGTTTTACAGTCCTGTAAGTGCTAGTGTACTTGAATAATTTAGCACACATTAGAGTTGATTACAATAATGAGTAGAATGACAAGCTTTCATTTTCCTTTTGAGGAATTTTCTTGTTCATTTTTTTTAATGGCATTAGCTATAGAGTAGACTATAAAATTAACAAATTAAGGAATGTGCACGTTCTTTTTATGCACAATACTGATTTCTATTAAAATATAATGTTTGTTGAAAGTGAACATGACAAGAAAGCAGTTACGTTGTTAGACCTATCCCGAAATATGGTGAGAGCTGTTTATCTTAATTTTGTCATGCCAGCATCATATACCCCGCACATGGTCTAAACTATCCTCTATCTTCACTCAAGGAAGACTATCCTTTTGCTATTCCCAACTAGAGCAGACCCATTGAATCGACTGTTGAATGGGAAGGGGTTGATTTATGTAAATACCATTGAGTTAATGGATCTGTTATAATTGGGATCAAAATGTTTACTGGTACAAAACTAAAAATGTAAAATGTGTTCTGTTACAAACTGTGTTTCCAGTTGGGTGTTCTGTTTAAATATGGTGGTGTTTTAATTGCATTTGTGCGAGATCTAGCCACCTGGCTCTGCAGAAATCTGAGTTTTATGCCCAAAAGCTGCAGGTTTGCAGCTCCAGAACTCAGTAAATAAAAAGGTCCTCATATTCAGCAGGGGGTTGGACACAGTGTCCTTCCAGCTGTGCTTTTCTGTGGTTCTGTGATTACATTCAGGTTGCACTAGGACTGTAGGGGGAAAAGCACTGAGAAATGTTTAAAATAAACAGGCAGTCCTGTGATTGATTTGAGAGAAGTATCTCTGTGCAAAAATTTCAGTGGTGTGGAAGTGCAGACTTCTGCATTTTCATACATGTGACTGTATTTTTTTTCCAGAAACCACAGGTCAATTTTGTTGTGCTGCAATATGTATGTGGATAGGTGGTCGGTCAGATATAATTGATCCGTCATTAGCAATATATAGCACATCCCATGTCATAGGCAGTATACTTCCCAGTATCAATTGCTGGAGAATGTTCCTATCACATCCTGCTTGTGGAGTTTCCATAGCTTGCTCCTGTAGCAACCTCAGTGCTGAACCTCAACCCAAACTATCATCTTTGGGTTGATCCAACACTATCCATTATTATTTCAAAAAAAATCTGAAGCAGATCTCACAGATTTTGAATCTGTTGATTTCAAAAACAAAGGTGAGGGTGGCTGCTACATGAGATGGCATTGGTTGTCTTTCCCTCCTCATTACTGATGGCCAATAATTGAGAGTCAGGGATGAGGGAATATATTTGAGGATAAGAGGATATGCATTACAGTGACTGGATTCTGCACAGGTACACATGCTGTTCAGAGATCCTCTCTCAAAGACTACGAGCTAGACCTGGCATGAGCTGTCCCCCTGCTGGGCTAAGATGTAGTTTCTACACAGTTGTCAGATCTACTGTGAAAAGGATTTAAATCATTCAGTGTCTTCTGGTAACTTTCTCTTTCAATTGTTTCTTTTACATGTATCTTTTTAGTCTAGCTTAATTGACCTCAAAGAACATGCATCATCATTGGCTTCGGCAGGGCTGAAAAGAGACTCCAAATTAAAGTCTTTAGAAATAGCCATAGAGCAAAAGAAGGAGGAGTGTAGTAAGCTAGAAGCACAACTGAAAAAGGTAAATACTGTCTAATGACAGCTCTTGTTGTTGATGCATGCTTGCAATAATATAACACAATATACTTCCATTTAGTTTCAAGTTCAGATGAGAGAAGGAATGGAAATGTTTATCATATACTGTAGTTTATCAACTTTTTCTCCTAAAATGCCTGTTATAAATTGAAAAATATCTTATATGATTTAATCTAAGAGATTTTGGGTGTGCTTAAAATATGTAAACAGTTTAATAACAGTAATGGTGGTGGCGGTGGCGATAAGGATGTGTTATTAGCAGTTTTGAAGCTTTGTCCTCAGCAGAAAAGTCATCTAAGTATGTGCAGGAACATTTATTCTAATATTTTCATTTCATTTCTACCATACATTGTTTCTCTTTCCTGTGTCAGTTAGTATTGTGTGTGCTCATTGTTGAAACATGAACTCATGACATAATTCTTGGTTTAAGCATCATGTTTGCCTTTCACACCTTGTAAAGAAATTCATATTCCCAGTAGATCATTTAATTGATAGCACAAAGTAGCCAAAGTTAAGTACATTTAACTTTCATTGACAATGGAGCTTCAGAACGCTTAGATTTGGCTGTCATGTGGCTCATACATCATTATAGACAGAGATTTTTAAAAATATTACTTACAGAAATATCAATGTTTATTCCAACAAAAATATGTTGTGAGATTCCATGCATACTGCGCAGACACAAGCAGATACAGTTGTGCACCCTCGTGCCAAATTTCAGATAGCTGGAGACTGGGCATTAATTTTAATCCTCATACTGTAGTTGTGAATGGCTTCTCTTGAGACTTAGGAATTCAAGATAGATCATACCTGTTAAAAAACCCAAAATATAGCAGTACATGCAGTCCAAGACACCTGTAACTTGACTGAAATTTGAGATAGAATAGCTTACCAGAAACAGTACAATGTAAGTACCATTCAATAAACAAACCTAGGTTTGGATCCATGGAACTAAAGGAGTGTGCAGGTTGTGGTTGGGTTTTGTGCTGTTTGGTGCTGCAGAAATATTGTCATTTTGTTCCTGGAGTGTATGCTCACTGCTAACAATCAAAGAGACCCAGTGCTGAACATTTTTAAAGAACTGGATTATAGTATAATAATTTTATAATAATGGGTGCTTTAAAAAAATCTTCACTCCCCTAGTTTTAGTCATTATTTGGGGGACCACACAATGAATAAGACATAAACATTTCAAATGATTTTTTTAACTAGTAAGCAATTTGTATCAAACCTGTAGCACCATCACTGAATATGTAGCTACTAGAAACAGCTTAATTTCTAAGTCAAGGTTTTATTACTAGGTAGATAAACACATCATTTACTCATGGAAAAATAAGTACATTTAAAAGCCTGGGCATCTTTTTTTGTGTTAAGATAAGCATGATTTTTCCAAATTAAAAAAAAACAGGCTTAGTAAAAGAAATCAGAAAAACATTGTTTTATTTCATCATAAATGCAACATGTACAGTATTTCCTGGTTTATGAATGGATACGACCCTACTCCGAAAGTTACAACTTCGTCTCTGAGAGAAAAAACAATACTGATTGTTAATGATAATTGATTCCAAACAGCGTTTTAAGATATGCATTTTTTGTAATACTGGTTGAAATCTAGTAGTAAGTCACAACTGGAGGAAGCCCATTGAATCAATGGAACTTATAGAGAAATTGACTCACCTAATGGCCAACGATTCAATGGACCTACTCTAGTTGTGACTTACTACTGGAGTTCAGCCATTGTTTAATTTCTCTTAAAGTCTGAAACACTGTGAGAAATTGGCAGCATGTCAAATGTACAGACTCTAGAGTTCAGCAATTATAATTAGCATTTGGTTGCTAATCAGAGTGACACCTAGCTCTAGATTTCGTACCTAGTTTTTTAAAAAAATGCTTTCCACAGTAGAGATGAGTCAGAAAACATAATCACAAAACTGATGAAAAGTGAAAAAGTTCTTAGTGTAACACAATTCTGAGCAGAAATTTAAATTTATTATTTAAGAAATTGCTTTCAAAAATTACTTGTAACATACCTCATAATTTGACACAGTGAAGAATTTGATTACTGTTTTAAAAAGTGACTGAGAGTATCAAACCACTTACATTGCTTCCTTCCTCCTAATCAAGGCAGCATGTTCTATGCTTAACGTTTTTGTAGAAAATACATATTTTTTCCTTTCTGTTTCATTTTATTCTAACTCTGTTTATAGGTTTTTTTAAACTAAGGAAGGGGTAAAACAGACAGAACTTGGGAAACTTTGAATTTCAATACTCATGGTAGTTTAGAAGATTCACCAAAATCCCAACTCCTTTGGTTTTTGCATACTGTACCTCACTGCTCCTCAGTTGGGCAGAATTATATATCAGCTGCCTTTCTATTGGAAACTGACAATGTAACTGAAGATATAAAAGAAAATGTATAACACTGAAAAATGAAACTTACTGAATATTTTATTATAATATAGTACACAGCTTCCAACAGGGAGCTTCTACTAATAGAATGGGGGTTGGGGTAGAATTCTGATCTACCTAAAGTTGCTTGTGTGACCCAAATGTCTGCTCAAGAGGACTGGCAAACTGTCCAGAGCAGACTTCTGATGCTGAGGGCTATGGAAGATAGGCAAAGACTTTCTAGATGCTGGTCAAAGCACGGTATTTGTTTTACATCATATATCCATGGTTATAGATTCAATTATATATATGTTGAAGTAATCTCTGTATTTAAGAGAAAACAAAACCTATCCTTTTAATTTTCATTTGATTGTGGCAAAAAATAGTAAAGCTATATATTAAGCTACTGGACATAATTAGTAAAGGTTTACTCCTGTGTGCCCTGGGAAGACCTTGGTAGGGCTTCTGAGGGCTCTCTTTTCCATTGCACTCTGAAGAGTTGCTTCAAAAGTCAAGGAATTTGTGAAGAACCTCAAATACAATGCAGAGCATTGCAGCTTGAAAGAGGAATCTAGACATCGTAACAGTACCCAATTCACTAAGTCACCAAGATAGGTGTTTTTGCATTCTAGCCTAATAAAAGACAAATTACAGTGTGAAATGCATAAGAACATTGGTGGGGGATGGAACCTTCCTGCATTGTTTGCCAACAATCTTATGAATATTCATTAGATCCATCACTAATTAAGTAGTAGGTAAATTTATTTATTTTTTTAGAAAAATCTTTGATCTGTGATCTACTTGTGTAAATGCCCTTGATTAGTACTTACAGGTTCTTAATATCATGGCATCTTATGCAATTCAGCAGGTGTGACAGATGAGTCCCATAGGGTGGCTGAGCTTGATTAAGACAGCCCTAGGATAAGTGATCTATAGCTTTCAACATTATTTGTTTTCTTTCTTTTATATTCTATTCCATTTCAGAATGTCTTTCTTTTATTTCCTCACTACTACTGTTCGCCAAGCTATGCTGTTCAGCAATCAAATGAAACTGAAATGCAGTTTTGTATTAATATGAAAGGAAGGCCATAAATTTAATGATAAAGTTTAATTAATCTTTTATTATTACCATCTTTGAAGCTTTGGTGATAAATTGCAGCCTTGGCCAAAAGCACTTCTAGTGATTCATTGCTAGAGACCAGCACTTAATGTATCATCAAAAGTGGACAGCTTTCTGTATTTCATGGGTTATTTCACATGAGAAAGGGAAAGTAACACAAACCTTAGATTTCTTACTCCAGCTATTCTTTTTTAGGAGCCAAAGTCAACATTTATTTTTCCCCAGTGCCTCTCACGTTCACTAAGGAATGTTTAGAAACTTAAATTTCTATTCCTTTTTTAAATTCCAAGTTCTTCTGTGCAAATGTGCTGGATTTGCTGAGCTAATACTCTTTTCCTGGATCTTTCCTTCTTTTCCTGTCTGTGCTTCATTCCTTCCCAACTTTGCAATGTAGCAAGCTGAACAGTTGTTCAATCAGATGTACAATCCAGTAAGTCATTTCAGAAAGTCTCCGCTGTAACATATGAAAGCATGAGGATCCATTCACCCACTGCCACGTTGTACTCTTCCACTGTGGAGCTTTGCAAAATTACGATAACCTCATTTGCATTTTTGTTAAAATAAGTGTGCCTTGTGGACTTTAAGGCCATATGTTTTCAAAGATACGGAAAATGTTGTTTATGGGAAATTGGATGGATAAGTCTTGTATTCAAAACCGAAGTGCCTTCAGGTCCTCAACTGCTTAAGCATGTGGATATCAAGCTTTGCTGTATTATAATGTTATGCTCATGAAGTACTTTTTTGGATCCTTCAAATTAAGATTAAATTTGGAACCTTATTCAGAATATCTCAAAATAAACACAATCATGCTTACTGCCTGTTTCCTTCAAGAGATGCAGTGTGGCAGATTTTGGCCAACAGACATGTGAATTCTCTTATCAGAAGATGTTAAATGTTCAATATGAGTAAAATACCAGCCTTTTAAGCGACTATTACAGTGTAGTCCTAAAAATATTTGCTTGAAAAACAAGGTCCTCTGATTTCAGTAGAATTTCCTCTCCTGTTAGTACATATAGGTTTGCAGAAGCCCTTAATGTGGAATAACCAAAAGGCATTGTTAATGCACCATTAAAAACAGTGACATAGATTGTTGTTGTTTTCATTTTAAATAATAGTTTTATGGCCAAATATTCAGCATAATGAGGGAAGTGCCCTATGGCACTGTGAAGACTAACAAATGTTACCGTAGGACAATCTGGAGATTCTTTCAATAACTACCAAACACAAAGAATAGACACATCTGTGTAGCTATTATATAAATAAAAGCTATTTCCATTATTTAGTGACAGATGCATGTGAATAATGGAAATTATTCCTCCTTTTAAGGATAGAAATGATGATAAAACTGTGTAGTAGTAACCTGAATTTTAAAATTATACTGTAGTGTATTAGTATTATGTACTTGCAATTTGAAATTGCAGAGTGTATCTAAACAAAGTTTATATTAGGTACAAGAATATTAGTTCTCTGTGTTTGGGAAAATTTAAATATTATAATGAACATTTAATACTGAGTGTGGAAAAGATAGATCTCATAAAACATAACATTTTTGTAAGATTAATCTTCATATTTGATAGATCTGAATTCGTCTTATAAAAGTTGATTGCATTCCTGGTTTGCTTTATATATTGAGTGTATAAGTGGATTTCACTTGCTATCAACCTTATGTATTTAGACAAATCAGTAAAAATTCACAAGAGCAACAAAGTATCCAGTATTTGACAGAAACAAATAAATTTGCATTCATATGATTTTGGGTGGATGGCAAACAGGTATGGATGCTCCTGAGTTTCATTTCCCATCTAACACTTCATTGTCATTGTGTATGTTTGTGCAGCCACTGAAATGAATCCTAGCTGGGGATTGTCTGATATCAATTTGAATTATGTGAAAAGATTCCATGTTCTTACTGCATATGCAGCATTTATGTGTGTGCACAAGCACATGCACACACACACACATTCTCTCTCTCCCCTTATAACTTACTTGTTGTAATAAGTTATCATAGCAAAATTTCTGATACTTCCTCCAGCAGTATAGAACTCAAACATGTGAACACGCTTGCACATACACTCTTACACAAAGAACAAGGGCCTATTTATATAAATGTGTGTGTGTTTGTGTGTGTGTATGTGTGTGTGTGTGTGTGCAGCACTCACATGATTATGTGAGGGCCTAGATGAATTTAGAATGTATATTATATGTTTTTTTTGTGCAGCAGAGGAAAACAGCAGAAATTTAAAGCTAACATTTTCATATATATATCTCTAATATTCTGTGAATTGGCCCTAGCACTTTCCCCCCTCCACCATCTTCTTTTTCAGTCCTATAACCAAAGTAAGCTCTAGTTCATGAGTTTCAGGCACCTGAAGCCAAAAGCACAATACTAATTTCTATCTGAGTATGTTGGATTGATATAGAGTCAATGCAGCTTAGCAACTTCCAACACTGATTTATTTCTAATGCTTCAAAAAACTTACTGTTTTTTTTTCCAGAGACAGGAAATCAGGTTTTTAATGGTTTTTAAAAATAGGATGTGTGGATTCCAGCCCCCACCCTACTTGTGCATAAGCACAGGATACAGCAGAATACAGCAGTCATCTGGATTTCCCCATACACTAAATCATAGGTTTAACTAAAAATTAATAGTTATATGTCATCAAGAAGTCAATTCTGGCTTTTGGCAACCCTTTCCAGGGTTTTCAAGGTACAGAGTATTCAGAAGTGGTTTGCCATTCCATTCTTCTGTGGGGGCACTCTGGGGCTGTACAGTTTGCCCAAGGCTCTACAGGCTAGCTCTTCTCCCAGAAGGCATAGTAGGAATCCAACTTCTAGCTTCTGCCTCTGCAGCCAGATGCCTAATTCAGTGAGCAATCCAGCAAGATACAAAATTAATTGCTTACAGTTAAATGTTACAAATTGGAGAACTAGCTTGTTATTACTAATCTTGCTGGTTAAATTGTTGTTATTAATGCACTGATTAACATTAGTGGTATATGTTGGTCCATTCTTGCTCTCTTGAAAAAAGATGCAAAAAACTCCCTTTCAAAATTATAATTATACTGGGTAATTGCCTCTTTTGGATAAGCTATACCAACATTAATGTTTCTAACATTCAAAATCACTGCTAATGTTATTTTTCAATTTTGAATGTTTTTAACTTAAATTCCGAAAGTTTTTTCCCCTGGAATTCATCCAAAATGTAATGAATTTAACATTTGTGCACTAAATTTAATGTGTTATTTGCAAGCTCCGGGTTTGGCAGAAGTCTCTTGTAACAGTAGAACTGAAACTGCAGTTTAAATATCTTTCAAAATCAAGATAGAATATTCAAGACTGACATGCACCATAAAGTGGGAGGATAAAAATAAGTCTAATTCATTTTTCTTATTCAGAATATTTGTGAATAATGATCTGTCTTCCTTTGCTGTGTTTCTTGTACGTTTATATTATATTGAATTCCTCCTTTGTAATAAAAATGTAAAGATGTAATTCACAAGATGTTCAAGAAATTGCCACTAATTGGCTAAAATACAGCATTGTAACTTATGCTGCGTAAGGCAGATCATGTTATCAGCCATGGTAGGTTTTTTGATGAATTAAAAATTTCTAATTCTGACCCCTCCCCCCCAAAGATCCCATGGTTCTATTCTTATCCCTTTTGTTGTGGGGAAGCTGTTGAGGGCCACAGGACAGAGAAATCTTTCATTTCCAAAAATCATCACCACTGTAAAATCATCTAAGCAACTGCAGTTTTCAGTAGTTAAAAGACTTGTCGAAAGAGAAATAGAAGACAAATATAAAATAAAGTATTTTGTCTGAGCCTCACCATAAAATAAAATAAATAACAGGAAATAAAAGTAGCAGCAAGAAAGGAAACTTTAAGGAATTAAAATATATTGAAAGCCGTCTGTAAGATAGAAATATGGCCTGCAAAAAGCAAGTTGTGTGTAAAACTGACAAAAGAAACTAACAAAAAATTGAGTTGTGCAAAGAATATGTAGAAGTGCAGAGTTGTGCAAAGAATATGTAGCCGCCTAGAGTGGTCGTAGTGACCAGATAGGCGGGCTATAAATGGAATACATAAATAAATAAATAAAATAAAACTTAGCTCCTTGAAAACCTTATCCTTTGTAAAAATTTTGCAACAAAAGTAATTAAATCTGAATTTGTTTTATGTAAAAAGAAAAGAGGTGAAGCTATGAGAGAGTACAGTAAAGAAAAAGAACTGAAATTTCTCTCTATTTCTCTAAACTCCAAACTTTGTTTTTGCTATCTGGTTGATTCTATTAGGCATGTATGTGATTCTATTAGGAAGAACATTAATCATGCCCTCTATCCAGAAATAAGATTTATTTTTGTCTTAAGGCAACTGCTGTGTTATTTGGATCTTATCAGAATACACTCTGGCACAGAGCCACTGAAACTGTCCAACTGTCTGTTTTTTTCATCCTCATCTACAGTTTAATGTCTTTCCTAAGGGCAGGTTACCACAGTGGCCATATATGTGCCTTTTCCTTTTTTTCAAAAGTCCAAGCCAAAAAACAACAAACAACTGAACTACCATTTCAAAAAGAAAATTGTTATGCTGTTTATGAACAAAACCAAGCATTTCTCCCTTTCTTAATCCATAGTTCTGAAGAACTTGGCTACTCAACATCTCAAATGGTACCTGAGTAACACAAGTTACTCTGAAGATGTTTCCCTAAGTGCACTATGGTAGAGAACATTGCTTCTGTCATTCCTGAAACTTAAAAGAAGTGACTGTCCATAAATGACTTGTTACAGGAGTTCAGGAGAGTTTCCTTTCAAATTTATGGGGTGAGGAACCCTCAACTCAGCCCATGAATCACGTCTGGAAGTGACTAGAACAGGTAGACTGAACAGGTTGTTCGGCTCCCTGATTCCATTCCATGCAGCTGCACAGAGAGGTACAGAGCAGCCCTGATGCCTGGGAGCATAGTAAAGGTAAAGGTTCCCCTTGACATTTTTAGTCCAGTCGTGTCCGACTCTAGGAGACGGTGCTCATCCCGTTTTTCAAGCCATAGAGCCAGCGCTTGTCCGAAGACAGTTTCCGTTATCACGTGGCCACCGTGACTAAGGAGTGCCATTTTACCTTCCCACCGAGGTGTTACCTATTTATCTATTTGCATTTACATGCTTTCGAACAGCTAGGTTGGCGAGGAGCTAGGACAAAGTCACGGGAGCTCACTCCGTCACATGGATTCGATCTTACAACTGCTGGTCTTCTGACCCTGCAGCACAGGCTTCTGCGGTTTAGCCCACAGTACCACCACGTCCCTTGCCTGGTAGCATAGACAACTGAAATTTTGTGTTCAATATCTTACTTTTGGCCTCTTTGAGGAGGTGAAGCAGTCTTTATTGGTTCACTGATCCTTAGTTCCTCTAATTGGCAGAATTCCAAGATAA